GAAACACTACAATCTTGCGACAAAGGTTGTGTGCATCATGGTGGCGATGATGACTCCATAATTGCAAAGGCACTATGGGGATTATTGGCCGTACGATATGAACAACGACCTTATGGAGAAATACCATAAGCGAGCTTGTCAGGAAAAGTATGAGGTGGTAAAGTCCCTCATTGTGAGCAAGATGAAAGAGGGTGAGTTTGTTAGTAGCCATGTTTAGAAATACAATAATACGTGGACAAACTAATCAAACTCAACGTGAATTTTGATGAAGACTTAGCAATCGACATAGTGTTGAAATGTCTGCCAATTTGTTATGATCAGTTCATATTGACCTATCGTTTGAACAACAATGAAACTACTTTGTCAAAATTGCACAACCTCCTGCGAACAACTGAAGCAGGAATGAAGGGAAAGGGTATTGCCTCCACTACTACTAGTTCACCTGTTCTGGCCATATGTCAAGGGAAAGGGAAGAAGAGGAAAGGTTCTCCAAAGAAAAACCGGAAAGGAAAGTCCCAAGTTGGGTCGTCAAGTACATGACCCAAAGGAAAATCCAGTTCTGATGCTCCGCCTATTTCTGATCCCAAGGAAGCCACTTGCTTCTATTGCAGTGACAATGGGCATTAGAAACGAAGTTTCCAAAAATACTTGCAGGATATCAAGGATGGCAAGGTGAAGCCAACATTGGCAGGTATTTACACTATCTTATCTAATAAATCATCATATTCTCGTTTTTGGGTCCTTGATACAGGATGTGGGATTCATATTTGTCACCAAGATTGGAGTTTATGGCTTAGTGCTTAGTTGTGGGTTAGGGTTATATTTAATAAATTGTTGCTACTCGTTAGAGATGACATGAAACATCATTTCATTTCATGATTTCTTTAAAAAAGGTTTTAGATATTCTTTTAATGATAAGAATGGTTCTATTTCTGCTTATAGAAATGGTGTTTTTTATTTTGAATCTTTATCTTGTGATGGTGTGTATGAAACTCTGATGATTGTAGACAACTTAGGAAATAGTGTTTCAAATTGATTCGTGTAATGGTATCGACAAATCATGCTTGTCGCGTTGTCGTCTTGGACACATTAACAAGAAACGCATGGCCCAACTTCAAAAGGATGGAGTGTTGGAATCATTTTACTTTAAGGTTAGATGAGACATGCGAGTCTTGTTTACTGGGAAAGATGAAAAAATCACCTTTACTAGATCTTGTGAAAGAGGTGAAGGATTGTTAGATCTCATACACACAGATGTGTGTGGGCCCCTCGGATCCTCCACAAGGGATGCAAATCAATTCTATGTGATTTTACTGATGATTATAGCAGATATGGCTATATCTACTTAATCAATCATAAGTCAGAAACCTTTGAAAAATTCAAAAAGTTTAAACATGAAGTCGAGAATCAATTGGGCAGGGAGATAAAGATGCTTAGATCTGATAGAGGCGGTGAGTATCTTATTATCGAGTTCTATGACTACCTCAAGGAATGTGGAATAATTTCACAGTTGACACCTCTTAGGACACCACAACTTAATGGTTGGCGGAGAGGTGTCTTCGGACCTTGTTAGACATGGTTCTTTCCATGATGAGTCGAGCTTCACTTCCAATATCTTTCTGGGGGTAAGCCTTAGATACTGCCACCTACATTCTTAATTTTGTCCCAGCTAAGAAGGTTTCCAAAACACCTCATGAGATGTGGACAGGGGTTCCCTGATTAGCACATATCAAGGTTTGGGGTTGTGAAGCTTTCGTTAGACGTGAGACTCATGACAAGCTTGAATCTCGTAGTGAGAGATGTATTTTCATCGGCTACCCACAGAAGTCCTTTGGATATTTGTTCTACAGACCTAGTGAGAATGTAGTCTTCGTAGAACGAAGGGGAGTATTTCGAGAAAGAGAACTCATATGCAAAGATGACAAGTGGGAGTACCATTGATCTTGAAGAAATTCAAGAGTCAAACGATGAAGGAACTTCTGAAAATGCTAGGGCTCAACTTGAGGAAGAAAGTCCAGTTAAACCAATTGACGAGTCATTACCTCTAAGGCATTCCAATAGAGTTAGAATGCCACCTGAGTTTTATGGTTTTCATATTACTACAGATGGTGATACATTTATAAGTGATAATAAACTAGTAAATTTGGATGAACCAGCTAACTACAAGGAAGCCATGGCAGTTGATTCTTTTTTTTGTTTTTTTGACAAGAAGGTCAAAGAGTTTGGTTTCTCTAAAAATTAAGATGAATCTTGTGTATATGTCAAAGCTAGTGGGAGTATAGTAACCTTCCTTGTTTTGTATGTTGATGACATACTTCTTATAGGAAACGACATTCCAACTTTGCAAGAGGTTAAGTCTTGGCTTAGAAAGTGTTTTGCTATGAAGGATCTAGGAGAGGCTGCTTATATTATGGGGATAACGATTTTGAGAGACATGAGTAAAAGGATAATTGGACTTAGTCAAAGTACAAGCTTTGAAAAGGTACTAAAGCATATTAGTATGGAAAATTCCAAGAAAGGAGAACTGCCTATACAGAGTAATACCAAACTGAGTAAAACCCAGAGCCCGAGTATTGATGCAGAGATAGCAGATATGAGTAGAGTTCCATATGCTTTCGTTGTTGGATCTATCATGTATGCTATGACATGTACTCGCCCTGATGTGGCTTTTTCTTTGAGCATGGCCAGTCATTATCATTGAAATCCAGGTAGAGCTCATTCGATAGAAGTTAAGAATATTCTTAAGTATCTACGAAGAACTAAGGACTGGGTCCTTGTGCTTGGTGTCAGTGATAACTTAAGAGTAACTTGGTATAGTTATGCCATCTTTCAGAAAGAGAAAGACAACTACCGTTCCCAATCTGGTTGGGTGTTTACCCTTAACAGAGGAGTTGTAACCTGGAAAAGTTCCAAACAGGAGATGGTGGCTGATTCTACTTCTGAATTAGAGTACATAGCGGCAAGCGAAGCATCGAAGGAGGCTATTTGGTTGAAGAAATTCATCGGAGACCTTGGATTTGTTACAACCATCAAGGAACCAGTGGAGATTTTATGTGATAATGAAGGGACGGTTGCCTTAACAAAGGAAGCAAAAGGTCATGGTAGATCAAGACACATTGACAGAAAATGCCATTTTATCAGACATAGAGTTAAAGAAGGTCACCTCGTTGTGAAGAGGGTATCGTTAGAAGAGAATCCTGCGGATCTCCTCAAAAAGGGTCTGGGTATGGTCAAGCACGTTCATCATGCTAGGATCATTGGTCTGAAGGATGATATTAGTTTTAGTAGTTGTATAGTTATTTCGAAACTTGACACAAAATAAATGTAATTGACTTTTGGTGATTAAATAATGGAGATTTATTTATGAGTTGGATTACTACCTTCTGTCTATTATTTATTTTGTGTTTCATTTTGCATGTTTTACTTCCCGAATAATTGGATTGTTCTAACATCCACAGTCGATCATACTTTTGGAAGTAAGTAGTGAATCAAGACTGTGATGAATTAGATTGTAGATTGTCAAAAGAGTTTTAGACATCCAATAGTGTTGCTGCAATATTCATGAGTACTTTGAAATGGAGATTTAATTATTGGATTAACTAATATCTTATAATCTTTAAACAAATATATGAGTTGTTGTTTACAAATTCATTGTGCATTGATGATACGTAAATGCATCAGTAACTTGATGTTATAAAATATATTGTTGTGTATGATTTGATGAGTAAATAGTGCAAGCATGTAAGTCAAAGTTTATCTGTTCCTTTTTACCATGAGGGGAAAAAGCGATATCTTTGGGCCCCTTGATGATTTGGTGTTGACTTCTAGTGTCGGGCCCGGCCAAGACTAAATTGATGTGTTCGTTTAGTACTTATTTGTCATTACAAATCAAAAATTAGGAAAAAAATGATTGGACAATGAGATTGATTCTGTTCCATGTCTCATATTCGAATGAAATCTTGCAAAACAGAGGATTATATGATCACTTATCTTAGGACACGTAATTGACTAGGTTAGAATTCGACAACAGGTTTTAAGAGCTACAACTTGCTGATCAGTTTTAGAGGAATATACTGGAAATTATAGTTATTAGACTTATCCAAGTGGGAACTTTTGGATTAGGTGTCTAAGCCCATAACTATAATTGGTATATACTTGAATTGATAGTAGCACCGTACTTTTAGTTGTCCTCAAAACTAGAAACTAGACAGGATGATTTTTGGAGAAAGAGGTTGATTTATTATTTGATTAATAAATTGAAATAAATAATCTGTTAATATATTATGATAATAATATATTAATTAGAAATAGCAATATTTAATTATTACTTAATCAGAATTTAATTATAATTAATATTGGGATTAAGATAATTAATTAGAAGTGTAGGGACTGAAGTGCAGTTGTTCAATAGTTGAGCAAGAGGCAATCTAGAACCCTCCATTAGGTATGGACGGTTTCTTGAAACCTAAGGGATTCTAGAATTATCGATGCTGCATAACCAGGAAGGTGGATAATTACCCGGTTTAAGATAATCTTGGATTTGGGCTTATCTAGGTTTTCCCGACTGCACTATAAATTGAGCCACAACCCTAGGTTTTTCGGCCACTCATTCTTTCAAATAGATAGCCAAATTTTCTATTCTCCCTCTTCTCTCTCAATCATCTTCTTTTGCTAGTGTTGGGTATGAACCACTAGAGGCGTGATATTTCTGACGCTTGCTCTAAAGGCTTCAACAACATAAGGATTTTCATTGTTATTACTAAATAACAATCAAGGTATGATTCTCCTAACCTTATTTGTATTTTAGAAAATATTCTAGTGTTCTAGGGTTTCTTATTTTGCTATTCAAACTTGTATGTTCAATTAGAAAAAACATAGATCAAGTATTAGGGTTGCATGCACACATAGGAATTATTATGTTTTGCATAATACCCATCATTATGCTCCACTTTAGGTAGACCATGAATGAAGAAATTATGCACTAATTCAGATTCCCCATGTTATGGAACAGGGGAAGGAGACTTATCAAATCCAAAACAATGTTCAAATACATCATGTTTTGTAGGTATACCTTGTGATGAGGATGAAAAGGACTTCAAATATATATGCTTGCTAGGTCTGGGCAGAGATGTAATGGCAATAGATGCAATAGCAGGATTAGGGCGATGAATCATAGGTTGCTTGAGAATGGATGGAGACTGAGATGATGGTCCTAAGGAGAATTTAATATCAGACACTTCAATATCTGCATCAACATCTTCCATATCCTCATCTTCATCATCATTTTTTTTCCAAAAATAAAAAAACAATCTTTTCTTTTTTGGATTCATTTTCCTCAAACTCAGTCACAACTTCTGACACATCCTCATCAGATTGATAAATTTTTTATGGATGCCTAATAGAGTATACGGTTTTCTGTCAATGTGATAAGGGTGTAAAAATCACTCATAGAGTGATTGGAGGATCAGTGGATTTGGGTGTTGCATTAACCAATTTTAAAGACATAAAAGACTTGGCTATAGTACCACCAGCGTCTCCAACATACCCCGAATTAAGGTACTCAAGAACCAATGACAACTAACGAGGATAAGGAACATATGAGTACATTTTAATCCCAGTGATTCAGCTGACAAGTTGATCAAATATCAATTGAACAAAGTCCACATGCTTGTTCTTCACCATTGCATACATAATTCGCATCTCGAACAAATTTAACTAGTCTAGACTTTTGGTTAAGTACCCTACACACTTGCCAACAACACATGTGAGGTATTTCCACCCTGCTATAAGACATTTTCGAAGAACTAGGCATGCGTCATTACCTTATTTCAAGGGATCATAACCTAAATTCGCCACAACTTTCTTACATTGATCTTCTGAATGAAGATTTGAGTATTGAACCAGATTGGGAATACGGTGAGCATCCCTAATAGCTTCCACAATAAAGAGAACATCATAATTTATGTCTCCAGATGTTCCTAGAGTAGTTTATGATTGCTAGTCATACGTTCATATGTAGTAAAACACACAAACATGCTTAGGGAAGAACGAAATGGCGCAATCAACAAGACCATATCTTAAGGGATGACCTTTTACAAACTCAACAAAAGCCTCTAACCCTCTGTATCTGAATTTTGGTGGAATAGCATCTGAGAAGGAAACATTTGTTGTATTTTTGATAACGGGAGTTGATGGATGGTTACGAGCTTTGCGTGCACCAGCAGTTGGAATGTAGGTGAAGAGAGGACCCATAGTTGCACTTGAAACTAAATCAACATGGTATCTTCTTTTGAATCCGCATTGTCAGACTTGTAGTTTTTGCTCTCAAGAACAAAAATAGACTTCCTTGAGAATAGGACAGATGACTTCTCTTTGAATTGTCCTTCATGATTTCTTTTTTCAATATTTTCTCTCTTCAAAATTGTGCAAATTCCCATACAAACTTTGAAGATACATGGTTTTAATCTTCTCACTTTTTTAGAACATCAATATGATGTTCCCAACTATCATCTAGAAAATCTAAAAACATAAGAACTAAAACAAATTGATGCTTAATAACATAAAACCTTATCATATCATTGATTAACAATTAAAACAATTAAAAGTTTGAGTTATAGATTCAATCCTATGAGCAAAAAAAATGTTCGTACTTCCAATTGAGAAAGTTATGTATGGTACCTTTAACCTTATCAGTTCCTTCATAAGCCATAGTCAACGTCTCAATAATATCTTTCACTAAAGTACAATTCTGATTAAGATGGTATATTTCTTATGGAAGAGATATTCCTATTGAAGCATGTGCACGAACATCTAGATTGATCATCTTTTTATCATCATCACAATACTGATGTGGTGGAGTCCTTTTTGTCACTCTAGTAAGAGCACCTTCTTTCCTCTCAAAATAATTTGGATTATTTGGACCATTAGTGAAGATTTTCATCATATTATAATCCATGATTTAAACAAAAACCATGTTGTTGCTTTTCCACATGGCGGAATTTTTTTCATCAAAATGAGGAATGTTGTTGGCTGATGTAGTACGAGTAGTAGGATTAGTTCTAGAAGAAAATGGCATTGCTTCATAGATTAGAACCTGATCTGATACCATTTGTAGGAATGTAAAAAACTAATATCAAAAAATAAATAACAATAAGTAATTAAACAACAATTTTTATTAAGAACTCTCACAAAGAGAGAATGCACAGAGCGACGTTATACATTCAACCCTAGTGTAACTTATATACTAAGCTAAGACTATTCTAGAATAAGATTCCTACATATCAGGGATTAAAACACAACATATATAAACTATACAAAAGTAGATCCTAATACCAAGATAACGGATCTCGAATCTTTTTGTAGAAGTAATTGTCACACTGCAGTAAAATGCTTCGGCAACGACTAATTACGTTGTCAATATATATCAGTATGACACAGTTTTGACACATTAGACTATAAGGCTCGACCTTACATGGGGTTATTGAGATTCCGGATAATCCTCATGTAGAGGATGATACGGGGAAAATGGTGATGATCTTGGGTCGGATGGGTGTGTTGGGTCGAATAATAATGTAGGTGTTGAAGCCTTTATTATAAGTATGGTTTCTAGAGGGGATCGTGATAAAGTTGTTATGGTTGAAGGATTTAATAAGTTGCCGGTTTTTCGAGGGGGTCCAAGTTCTTTTATTTAGGTCATGTTATGAAAGAGGTGGGTGTTAAGGACAAGTCTCCTGTCGGGGGTGGTGTTGCTTCTGGTCATGGTGTGCGACATGGCCTTGAAGGAGGATGTTTTCGTAAATAGTGGGATTTGAGTAACAGTTCAAGGGTTTTTGTTTTTGAGGTTGCCAATGAGTATATTCGACATGCTTTCCTAGCTAGAACCATGACAGAGATGGCCAGCTATGCTTTGACAGATTTTATTGGGCCTCTTCGCTTTGCTGTTGTGTAAAGTTCGTGTTTTCTGGCTAAAGTGGTGTATTGTCTTTAGGATTTGGTATGTGCAAATGTTGAGCGGATGCAGCTCTAAAAGGATTTGCAGGTTTTGTGGCAGAGAATACAAGGTTGCATGTAGAAGAGCTGAAGTTATGGAGGAAATGCGTCCTTGCAGATGCATTCACGTGGTTTTATGGAGAAAGTGGAGCTAGTCGCTACTAACAAGACCAATTTGGAAGAGCGTGTGTTGGTATTAGAGCGAGAGAACATGGAGGCGAAGGAGGCGTTAGAGAAAGCGGGGCAGAAAAATGAGGGATTAGTTATTCAATTGGAAGGTGTTTAGAGGGATGTTTTCGATCATAATCAAGTTGTTGTTGAGAAAACTTCTGATGTGGAGGATGTTAGTAGGAATTGTCAGTTGTTTCTAACCAAGGGAGTTTTGGGGGTGATATATAAGGTATTGTAAATTTGGCAGTTTGGGATGGGAGTGAATCACTTTCGAGATGCATGTCTGGTTGTGGGGCATCAGTAGAGGCATAGGGCTTATCGGGAGGCTTTGATGGTGGAGAGGATGAACTTAGAGGACGAGGACCCGGAGATCTATTTTTTCGATGATATGAATAGAGTTGTGGAGTTGTTTACCACTACATATTTTTCCTTCTTATTCCGATTGGGTGATTTGAGCTTTGAAAAACCGAAACAATTTGTCCATCTTACTAATGAGTGAGATATTTGGGTATGGTTGTTACAAAACATGTTTATGGGTTGTAGACCGGTTTGGTCATTTGAACAATTTCCTTTCCTTCTTTGTTTTTGCTTTTTCTAGGTGGATGATGTTATGACTAGTGTTTGTTTGTTTCGATTTGCTCATATGCCCTCTTTGCTTATAGTGAAGTCTTATATTTCTGCCGATTGATGTTTTGACCATGTTTTACGATGATTTTTATCTTTAGGATCAGTGATCGCATAGGCTTTTTTTAAAAGTTAGGACCACGGGTCGCATAACATGAAATAATCTCTAACACTAGGATTAGGGGTCATGTAGGCTTTTGTCAAAAGTTAGGACCTGGGGTTGCGTAACTTGACATAATTTCTAGCTCAAGGACCAAGGTTCGCGTAGGCTTTTTTTGAAAGTTAGGACTATGGGTCACGTAACTTGAAATTATTTCCAACACTAGAACTAGGGTTGTGTATGGTTTTGTCAAAAGTTAGGAATAGATGTCGTGTAACTTGAAATAATTTTCAGTGTTAGGACCAGGGGTCGTGTATGCTTTTGTCGAAAGTTAGGACCACGAGTCACATAACTTGAAATAATTTCAAGCACTAGGCTGTGAACGTGAGGCTTATTTAGCCTTTTTACCACTATCTTGGACTCCATGTGATGTGAAATTTTATGTTGCGAAATGAATAATAGAGTATTACGAAAAAGAAAAATCACTTGAATTGAAAACGTAGTGGTTTGGTGATTAGACCAACCTATTTTGTGCAAGTTTTTGGAAAATAATAAATACTATAAAAAAGACTGTAAATGTTGCTAATGGTTTTTGTGGAGTGCATTTATGAGAGTTTCCTCATGTATTTAGCTCTTAATAGTAAAAGTGTCTTAGGTTCTACATGTGTCATGTTCATGGGATAGGTCTCCCTTTTGGAGTTTGATGAATGTAGGCTCCTTTGCGGAGTGTTTCTACAATGTGATAGGGGTCTTCCCATGTTTACCCTAGATTTTCACCGAGTTCTTGTCGACTGGCTTCATTCTTTGTTCATACCTAATCTCAAATTTTGAAAGTTCGTCTATTAATGCATTGGTTGTAGTATTTTGTTGTGGCTACTTTGTAGGATGCATGTCGTATGGATGCTACTTCTCTTTTCTCGTCAATCATGTCGAATTTTTGATGCAAGTTCTACATGTTCTGCTTGTCCTCGAAGTGTATTGTTCGTGCGGAGCCTATTATTAGTTCGAGGGTAACACTACTTCCATTTGGTACGTCAAACTAAACAATGTTCCTTTTGTGCTTGTTCGTGTACTTGTGCAATATGACCACAATAATATAGAGAGCTCTTCAACCTAACATCCTTTGGCTTCAATATTCTACAACCACGATCAGGAATTTGACATTACGAGGCTTCTGGGAATGACCCCACGATGTCTATTGCCCACTGGCAAACAATCCATAGAGATATAATGTTGCTTAGCGGTGTAGTCAGCAAGTGCTGGAGTGGTACACATATGTTGCATTGGGTGCACTAGTGGATGGTCTCTATGGCGTCCTTGTGTATGTAGGGACAATATAGTCCTACTCTTAAGGTCTTCCATATAAGCGCCATGCTCCTTCGAGTGCTCTAATTTTTTTCGGTGTGAATTCTCTTTCAGCAGATTCTTACCTCCCTTACGTGTTATGCATTTGAGCCATGGTGCCTGGTGACTTTTATGGTAGAGGGTGTCTTTGAGAATGTTGAATGATGGTGCTTTTATCTAAATGTTTATGGCTTCATAATGATCTCCTGGTAGGACTCCATGGTGCACAAACTAATATTATGGTGTCATCCAGTTCAGTGCTTCATCCCTTAGTTCTGCTATTTCATATGTGTCATTGCTCCTGATTGATAGAACTTCTACAAGTACTTTTTTGACAAATGGTCAAAGGCTATGGTGGCAAGTTTGTTGAGCGCATCTACTTATTTTTTCTACCAGTTGTGCTTCATATTCTTCATCGTTGTTGGAGGTGATGAAGTTGAAGCGTCAAAATAAAAGTTATTTTTTCACCTTTTGGACTTTTTAATACTAGGCCTGCTTTGGATACTTCCTTGGTGGGGGACCCATTTATCTGAAGAATCCATAGGTCCTGAACGGTCGAGTTTGGGGTTGGCTTGATTACATTGAGTTGTATTGATTTATGTTTTTTGGGTCGAATGGATTGCGTCAATTGTAATTATTTAGTATAGTTTATTTTGTGTAACGGCTTGGGCCTGTGTAACCTGATTATTAATGATTACGGTTTAACTATAAATACCGCATGCATGCACCATGTTTAGTGTCGATACTCTTATAACCCTAAACGTTCCCTTATAGTAGCAGTTCTTAATCGAGCTCTTCTAAGGCATATATTATAATCATTCAGCACAACTTTGATCATCGTATTCTTGTGTTTGATTCTTATTCATGTTCTTGAATCTATCGATCAACTCTAATATTTATTCTAACAATTGGTATCAGAGCAGGAGACTGTGTAATCTGTACGCGTCTCTTCTGTTAAAGAGCTTTTAGGGTTTCTGCTTTAATACGATCTGGTTATTTCCTACTTCTTCGTTTTTATCGATTA